ATAGGACTTGGTAAGAAATGGTCTTTTTAAAAAGTGTTAATATCTCATCTCATTCTATCTGGGAATCATTTTTAGAAGAAGGGTGATGGAGAATTTAGCAGGTGTTGTCTGAGGGTATAAACATTGGTATCTACTCATGTCTCATAAAAAGATGAGCAAGTAGAGAGTGGCTTATTCTGCTGAAAGAGACAGCCTAGAGTAGCATGGTCACGGGCGTCAGTTTCAGAGCTGAAATATTAGAATTCAAATCCTGGCTCCCCTCTTTTGCTTTGTGACCATAGGAAAATTTCCTGATTTCTCTGAGTCTCAGATTTCACATCCATAACAGATATTAATAGTTCCTACCTCATAGGGTTATTCAAATGATCAAATGAAAACAAGTTTCAATAGTTTCTAGTTCACAGTGAGTACTTTAAAAATATATATATATATATATTTTTTAAGTCATAGAGAATCTGGATAAGAGGAGGAAAGAATAGGGCTAGTAAACATTTTAGTACCAGTAGTATTACTTTATTAACTGTTATCTGCTGATTGCTATGTGCCATGGATCTCTTTCAATCTCCCAAAATTCCTCAAGATGAGGGTACTATCAATATCCTTTCTTTTTCAGAAAAGGAAACTGAGCATCAGAGAGATTGGGTTGGATTTCATGCCCAAGGTCACTAGGCTAATGAGAGATTTTGATACCTTCCTCTGAGAAGTTGTATTCATACGTCTGTGTTCCAATATGTATGGAACACATGGACCCCTGTGACCAAAGTCCAGGAAAAACAAAATCAAAGGGCATCTGGTTGGACAGTGGGAACTAAGGGAGCATGAGTGTCTTGCCCTTTACTTTCATCCCACATCCAGAGCCTGCCAGTCACTCACCTCCTCTACCTGTCAGAGCTCAGCCCCTCTGGTTTTTGCTGGCTTCCTATTTAACAGATGTCACCTTGGCCTGGCATTGAGAAAACAAGGCACTAGGGCAGAGTGGCTAAAAGTGGGTTCTTTAGTCAGATACCTGGATGTGAATCTCAGCTCTAGCACTCACTGGCCACGTGACCATGAGCCCCACATGTTTTTGCCCCAGTCCGCTTCTCTAGAGGATAAGCAGTGTCCTTGTCTTGGGAAGAGACCACAAGCCTTTTGATCTCATTTTACTTTAAAGAGATATTTGTATTTAGCCCAAATAACATCTCTTTATTAGCATACTCTTATTTTAGAGGTGTAGTTAAAATATTTTGGATTGTGATTTTGGACATTCATTAAAAATATAATGTAATGCATGAGGAGTTTTATAACAATAAATTAGTACTCCCACTGATGTCGCAGTACCAGTTGGAAATGAGTCCAATAGATGCCTTGGGAACCTAAAGTCAAATCTGGCTATATTCTGTACGTGACCTTGCGCCTGCCCACACAGAGCTTAAGATCTAGTTGAAAAGACGAGAGGAATGTCTGCAAGGTAAATAAAAGTCCCAAATAGTGTGTGCTTGGTGCCAAATGAGTGTTGTAATCATTTTACAAGTATTCACTGAGTGTCCACACTGTGCTAGCTAGCGGGGATGTGACAGAGAACAGGACACACTCCTAGCCAGGAGCACAGCAAATGCAATTGCAGATCAGAGAAAGCCAAGGACCCAAGCTCAGGAATTCAAAGGAGATCATGTTCTTTCCACAGACATATAGTGAGCACCTGTAATGTGCTGGATGACTTTATTGTAACCATTTTTCCCCTGGAATTGCCTTAGAAGGGTGGCTGAGCTCAGGGCCTCCAGCTGCAGTAAAGTAGTTTCTTCTTGAGCTTAGTACAGCCAAAGGTAAGAAGTAAAGTAGCAGATGAAGTTTAGTCATTGTGTCTGATGAAAAAAGAAACAGGCTCAGGGGCCAGCCCAGTGGTGCAGCGCTTAAGTTTGCATGTTCCACATCGGGGGCCCAGAGTTTGCCTGATCGGATCCTGGGTGCAGACCTACGAACTGCTTGTCAAGCCACGTTGTGGTAGCGTCCCACATATAAAGTATAGGAAGACGGGCACAGATGTTAGCTCAGGGCCACTCTTCCTCAGCAAAAAAGAGGAGGATTGGCAGCAGATGTTAGCTCAGGGCTAATCTTCCTCAAAAAAAAGAAAGAAAGAAACAGGCTCATCACAAAGTTTGGATGGATGAAGAAAGTAGCCCAGGCTTTTGAGGTTCATTTTGCATAAGAAAATGTCATTCCTTATTTTTGGATATGTAATTGGCCTGAATAAAGGTAATAGATGTCTTACTATGTACACCTATTTGGCATAGTCAAAAGTTGCAAAATGGGTATTCTTTGTCCTAAAAGGCCTTATAAAAGGATGATAGGAGTGGGCATGAGAAATAGGTGAGGCATTAAGCTTTACAGCATTCTAGTAACAGTTCAGATAATAAAAGTTGTCCATGGGCAGTGTAATCATCATATGGGTAAGTCAGACAATTATGGCTGATTGAAAAGAAAAGGCAATGCTCTTTCTGTTGCAGCTTTCATAGAATTCTCAGTGGAGGAAGGGGGAGAGTTGAGCTGGGACTGAGGGGTATAAACAATGCGAACAAACAGAAATAACTGCCCTTGCCTTATTGAGATATATAACTGTTCCTTTTAATTATATTTCTAAAACAGAGGATTCAAATGGCTAAGAATTCAGCATCTCCAGAATGTCAGAGGGAAGTCCCTGTTGACTGCTGTCGGGACAGATGGGAATGTTCAGTAACAGATTGGAGATGGTACTGAGAGGTGGCTGAGGGTGCTCTTGCATTTCTGACAGCCTAGAGCCACATCCCAGTGTGTCACTTACCGTCCTGTGGCTTCTGCAGGCCTGTCTCATCCACTAGGCAGCCTCCATAATGCCATTGGCCTAGGTGCCCCTCAGGGGATCACAAAAATGTTGGAGATATGGAATGTATACTCTGCGAAAACAAGTTTAACACATGGGTAACAAAAGCTACATTAATCTGTAATCCAACCCATTTTTATTCAGTTATTATATTAGGGTTCTCCAGAGAAATAGAACCAATAGGATCTATATATAGGAATCGATTTATTATAAGAATTTGGCTCAATTATATTGGCCATGATAAAGGCTGGTAAGTCCCATAATCTGCTGTCTGTAAGGGGAGACCTAGAAAGGCTGGTGGCATAATTCAGTCCGAGTCTGAAGGCCTGAGAACTAGAGGAGCGATGGTGTCGATTCCAGTCCAGGTCTGAAGTGTTGTGAAGCAAGTGCACTGAGGGCGGGAGAAGATGGATGTCCCAGCTCAACAATCAGGCAGGAAGGGTCTAATTCTTCCTTCCTCCCCATTTTGTTCCATTCAGGCCCTCAGTGGATTGGATGGTGCCCACCCACCTAAGGGAGGGCAAACTGCTATGCTCGGTCCACAACTCCAATGCTAATCTCATCTGGAAATACCCTCACAGACACACCCAGAAATAATGGTCAGCCAAATATCTGGGCATTCTGTGATCCAGACAAGTTGCCGCATAAACTTAACCATCACAGTTATAAAGAATATAATAACGTTGGAATCACAAGTGCAAAATAAATAATATATGCACAAAAAATCAACATTCTTATGAAACTTACTTCAGAAAAATTGTATTGAACAGGAACTATGGGTTCATTTTGACATATTTGAAATGATATGGTTTGGGATCTTGAAAAGTAAAAATGTCTATGGGCAGAGAAAGATCTTACATGCCCCCACACTAACTGTCTCTATGACTACTGCACCTGTCAATTTTATGGGGTTGTTGCAAGGACTAATTGGGCTAATACATATGAAGTATATATGATGGTGTATAGCATGGAGTAGTCACTCAAAATACTCACTTAGAATAACAGTTGTTATTCACCAGGATTTTTTTTAATGACCATATACAATGTTAGACATTATTTTCTGATTTTACTTGTAATAGTCTATAATTCATATCAAAAAGATTAAATATTTCTATAGTTGCTACAAAAATAAAGAAACCAATTCATTTTCCTAGACTAATCATTATGGCAGGATAAATCTGGATTTGGAATAACAGTGGTTAATAGAAGATTTCCAGACATTATAACAATGCAAGAGGATTCTGGAAATTTACTCATGAATGCAGGATACTATTCTGCCCCTTCTTACATACAGCATCCAAGAATTACACCAAATATATAAAAATAAACACCTTTACTCCAAAGTACAGGATACTTGCCTGGATAAGTTTAATTAAAAAACTAATATCCAGTGCAATTGTCTGTGATAAACTGAAGCTTAAATGATTTGAAAACACTTTGGGAGCAGACAAATCAGATAATCACCATCTTTATAGCTGGAAAGGTTCGGCTGATGTTGACAAGCTATAAAGATAAAAGCTTATAGCAAATTCAAGAGCTAAATGTCTAGATTGGGTAGAGGATCAATGTTAATACTCAAAGCGTAAAAGTCCTGAACTTAAAATGATCTCTCATAGAGTTCTGTTTTTTTTAACTTTTCAAGGTAATAGTATAGAAATTTATTTACTGAAAAACTTTTGCGTAATTGTTGTTAGGCAAACACCTTAACAGTCTTACAGTGTTTTTTACCATCTAACTCACTGCTTAGATGTTGTATGTGTTACGTGATTTGTGCCCTACACTGCAATAAGACGGGTTCAGCTGCTGTTTCTCAAAACATTTCCAGTTGGGTGACTATTAATAGTTTATGAGAGACAAGAATCAGACTGTGCCATTTCTAGGCATCTTTTTTTGAAGGCAGCATGGAATTTGCCTCATGGCCTCACTCTGATCTCAGCAAGAACACTTTGAAAAGAAGTTCTTTGTTTTTTTCAAAGGCTGTTTGCATGAGTTGATTCAATGCTGTCCTATCACGGAGCCCTGGAGCCCCATAGCAAAATATGTGTGTATTGGGTTGTGTAAAGGATTCCTTGCATTTAGCTCCACTCATTGTGCTGATTGTGGCCCCAGGTGACACATCCAACGTCTCCAACCTCTGTTTGTTTTTTTCTTTTGTTTACAGGAGCAGAGGGCACAGTGTTCCCAAAATCTATAGAGACACCTAATGTCAGGGCAGACCCCTTCAAGGAACTAAGGTAAACGTCTGACTATGGTTTCATTGATGAGTGGCTGTTTCCTTTCTCTGTGCAAGTGGCCAATGATCCATTTTGAATCTATATTATATAACAGTGTGACAACATGAATATACAAACTGGGAGAGGTTAGAAAGGACATGAAGATCAGCTACAGCCAAGTGAAAATTTTCTCTGAGGACCTAAAATCGAGGAGTTGGAGGAGGAGGTTGCCTGCCTTCTGATTGTGAGATTTAGGATTCATTCATTTGCAATGTTTGTTTCCTGCAATATTTTATGGTACTAAGAACCTATCCAATGAGAGAACTAGTCAGTAATTGGTGCTGATCAGCCCAAAGAAAAATAGTATCTGCTGAACTCCAAATAAAATACAGATTTTTTTTTTCTATGTAGCAAGCTTTCTATTACCTGGAGGGATATAGTGCTAGAACTACCTTCTGGGGATATTCTGTGTACTGGTGTTAATCCAAGTGTCATAAATGTGCTGTCTTTAGCAGAAAAAGACTCTAAGATGCTGTGTACTTACCAGCAACAACTATGGAAAACAAAAAAGAATTATAGACGGGGGCCGGCCTGGCGGCGTAGGAGTTAAGTTTGCGTGCACCACTTCCCCAGCCCAGGGTTTGCTGGTTCGGATCCTGGGCACAGACCTATGCACCACTTATCAGGCCATGCTGTGGCAGGCATCCCACATATAAAAAAAATAGAGGAGGATAGGCACAGATGTTAGCTCAGGGCCAACCTCCCTCAGCAAAAAGAGGAGGATTGACAGTGGATGTTAGCTCAGGGCTAATCTCCCTCAAAAAAAAAAAAAAAAAAAAAAAAAAGAACAATAGACATACAGACAGACAAATAGACAGACAGAGATAGATATGGCCTAAAAAACATTCCTACCACCAAAGGACCATCCCTAGGCCCAAAAAAGAAACACAATAAAAATGGCACAATGGGGGCCAACCCAGTGGCATAGTGGTTAAGTCCACATGCTCCACTTTGGTGGCCCAGGGTTCATGGTTTCGGATCCCAGGTGCAGACATACACACTGCTCATCAAGCCACGCTCTGGTGGCATCCCACAAGATTGGCACAGAGGTTAGCTCAGGGACAATCTTCCTTAACAATAAAAGAAGAAGAGAAGGTGTGATGATACAAATATAACTTTAATTTTTATTGTATACTTATACCAGTGAAGAATTCAGTGAATACTGACTTTCTTCTTGTATTGTAGTTCTTTTAACTAAAACCAAAGATATATGATCATAAATAGCATTGAATAACTATTCATAAAGTCATCAACCATAAGCAAACGTATCTGTATTATACAGATCATATCTCCTCTTTCGCAGTGCAGTCCTAAGATCTATGTTTTACTAAAACAATAGCTCTGTTTGAGCTTGTGTTTCCCTAAACAGAAACACGTTCTCAGTAAGTGGAGAATATATTATCTCATTCCAGAACCCACCGCATTACACTAAAGCTTGTAAGTCTTTATGAATATAGGGAAATCAATTGGGCCAAAGGAAGAGGATAATTGTTGGGGAGTGAGAATCCTTTCTTAGCAAAACCCCATACACCTTGGGCTGTATTTTTAAGATACACCACACTGCAAGGTTTTACATTCTACTAGCATAACTGTTTTCATCAGGGCTTCCAGATGCCAGAAGTTACCTGACTCTCTGTCTAGATCCTATGTTTCATATTAGGTACTAAAGCTGAAGTCTTTTAAGGAGATCCACCCAAGGAAACCTGTATTTTAGGACTCTGAGAGAGCTCATTCTTTGAGAACGCAAAGAATCCTCATGTTGATGATGTAAGAGCTCTTTGCAGACAAGCTAATGGGTGCCCTGGTTCCCTTTATTTTCACAGGCCTCCTTATGAGCAGGGTTTTTGTACAGAACTAGTCAGTAATTAATGCTGATCAGACCAAAGGTAAGTGCTGTCTAAAAGAAGCTGAACTCTAAATATAATACAGACTTTTTTCTATGGAAGAAGCTCTCCATTATCTGCAAGACTTGGAAAATATAAGAGTAAAGGATTTAGGCTAACTTTCCTTTAAACAGGAAACATAAATCTTCTATAGTTAAAAAACAAACCCAACCTACACCAAACAAACAAAAAGACAACTCTCCAAGCGTCAGCCCACTGTAGAGATCCATATTCTGAAGAACATAAAACAAAGTATTTGCTTGTATAGTGCTGTGGACACTTAGAGTTGTTTGTACACAACCTATGGGAAACCCTGGATCTTGCCTTAGAAAAATTAAACCTCCAGAATTCACAAGTAAATCTCCTAAGTCTAGTGCAATAAAACAAAGACTTCAGTTAGTTGCTGCATTTTCCTGGGTTATTCTAAAACTATAGGCACATTCCACTGAGGCTAGAAATAAGTTTTCTTATAGGAAGCATAAGAAGATTTGAAAATGTAATTCTAAAACTGGTCTTTTGTTTGCATCTGTTCAAATTATGTTGATGCTTGATAGCCTGAACTGAATCGGGAGCCTAGAATGTGATAGTTTGGCCCCTTCGTCCTTGTGGAATTTTTTTTTTCTTGATGGTACCTTGTGGGAGAATCTCTGACCGACTGAGAGCATAATCAAATGTGGTGGACAGATTAGCCCAGACCAGTGCGTCTGTGAATGTTTCACAACTGTCACTTAATGGTGCCACATTTTACTCTGTGCTATTGATTGCTATTGACCTTGGTATTGAGTAAATAGATAATGAACTTGGTGACTAAGTCTTCTGGCCTCTGGCTTTACAGTTGGATCAGTTTTACTGCTCCAGCACATTTGTGCTGATGTGTCTTCCAGTCTTAGGAAAGCAGAGTAATCTTAGGGAGAGCCCTGAACATGTACCAGCAGGTAGCACTGAGTGAACTGCTCAGGTGAAGTAGAAGTGGTCCACCCCTCAGTGGCAGCACAATAGAGGGAAAGAGCCCTGAACTGGGAGTCAGGTACCTACTCTACGTCCACCATGTGGCCTCGAGATAATCCTAGAACCCTGCCGTCCGTAAAAAGCCAGGTTACTTCTACCTCCCCTTAGTTGATCCCTGTATATTATTTTACTTTTTATCTGAAAATAATTTTGGATTTAAAGAAGAGTTGCAAAATTCATACAGATTATTCCCATATGCCCTTCACCTGGTATTCCCTAATCTTACACACCCATGCTATATTTATCAAAGCCATGAAATTAACATTGTAGTCCTATCATATCTTATTTTACATAAGATTTGTTTAAAAGGATGCAATCACCTGAGTGTCTGCTAGATGTAAAAGTATCTAAAAAGGAGTTTAACGGAAAAGTTATTTGTTGAGATGTGAGCCAATGGATCTTTAAAACTCTTAGTCCGGTTAAGTTGGAATGTTTTTGAGGATTTGTTTATTTTTTTAAATAATGTTCCATAATCAGATTTTCTTGGCCTCACTTGCTAATGGGAAACAAATTGAGTTAAAAGACCGCAGCTTATTTCTACAGGCTGTCTCCTAAAATAAATAAGCAAAACTTAAATATCCATCCCTGTCCCTCACTCACCCAGTCCATCAAACGTGAGAAGTATCTATTTTAGAGACCTCTGTTGAGATAATTTTTGTTTCCTTAAACCTCTGTCTTGGCTGCTGAAGATTTTTTGTTTGTTCTCTTATTTTATTTTTTGTTTGCTTGTTTGTTAATGAGAAGCAGATTTTATGCCTCTGGCATTTCTTCCTAAAAGATTTCAACTCTCAGCTAAAGGCATGGTAGCTTTCACTCTGCTGGAATTTTGGTTCCCTGCTTTTCTTTCCAGAGTTACTATCGTTACTATATTTGCAGTGTGTGCTTACAATGTTTGTAAATAATCCAGGGTTGAGCTGAAAATCACAAAAGAAGGTTGCTTCTCTCTAGACAAACAATGAGTGTTAGCAAGGTCCTCGCCGAACGTCCAGCTCAGGCCATGTCTGTTGACTTTGCCCCTGCAGGGCAATTCTGAATTAATGGCATGTTGCTCTAGATTCAAAACTATACTTAAAAATATACCAGGCACTATACTTATCTCTTCAAATAAGAAAGACTGGCTTTAAATAGAGGCTGGATTTTAATAAGTTCACTATCTTAAAATGTGAATATATTAAATGTTCACTTGTTCATTTTTTTTCCCTGGCCTATATATGTAAAGACAGATGGAAAAATCCCTGATCTCAGGCTGTACATGATCTAAGACAGGAAATAGGCCATTCAGTTTTGCATATGTATTTTCTGTGAGAGCAGAGGCTACCTTTGAATGCCTACCTTATGCGAAGGTTTCTTTTCAACTGTGAAGTTTTCTTACAGGATTCTGATCCTAGGAGAACAGGATATAGACTGTGAAATCCTATTTCCCAGACATGCCACGGCAAATGTAGAAAAAGGGAGAAGGTTATATAGACCACTGTGCACATAGAGCCAACGCTGTTCCCCTACTTAGCACTAAAAGCTTGGAAGGAACCACAAAAGAGCAAGAAGCCAAAAGGTCTTTATATAGAGAATTCCTCATCAGCTAATGTGCCGACGTGCTCTTACTCTACATACAATTATGACAAGGTGGTGACCTGACTTTCCATTTCATCACAGATCAGGAACTGTTTACCAGGTACTTTTTGACAATTATTAGGAGTCAAGACATGTGCTCAATACTTAGAATGCTGAGATAAATGAGTACTCAAATAATTCATAGTTACAGAGAAGAAGACAGAAATGTAACCCCAAAATACAAAGTAATGTGCTAAGTGTAGGACAGATGTATGAGCCAAGTCAGAGGAAACACAGAGAATGCCAAAATTACCTAAGAGACTTAGGTAAGGCTGCCCACAGGAAGTGACATTTTAGTTGCCAAAAGAAAGAAAAGGTAAAAGCCAATAAGAAGACTTCAGAATTTAAAATGTGTGGTTTTCTAGGGCCATTTAATGTAGGGGCAAATAGACCAACATATTTCAGTAGCTCCCAAGAATGTTACAGTGTTATTTACAAACATGAGGGTTTGTAATTTTC